TCAGACTACATTAGTGAATATTCGAATAAATGTACTATGAAGCGTACTATTACACGACGGTATTTAGGTGTGGTAATGTCAGTGGTCACGAAAAATGAAATTTAAAAGGACTTACCAATTAAAACTCATAAATTGTTTGATACAAAGAGTAACATTACTTTTTAACTAGCGTATGATATTTTGCAGGGCATATTTTTGCAACTTTTTTTCGTCTTTTGTTAAACTGTTGCAGTTTTATTACAGCTGATTTTGTGTTACTTAATTAATTTTACCTTTAATCTGACGAAATATTAGAGTCTTCCTTGTCTCAAAACAGGTATTATGGGAGTAGGAATTTGGAACAGGTATACCCTGGAAAAACAAGTCTTCCTTCAAGGGCAGACCTGTTCCAAATATCCGTTTGGCAGGTATAAAAAGTTGGCAAGTAAGACTCGAATATTTTGTCGGTTTAAAGGTAAAATTGATGAAGTGAATTCTAATCAATTGTAAGGAAACCGCAATTGTTTAACAAGAGACGAAGAAAGCAATAGTGTACTGCTATCACCGACTTGTGATCTATGGCAACAACACGGATCCTGTATGCCCTACTTTTATAACTGGTCATTAAAAATGTAACTGTCATTATAACTTTATACCTTGTGAATCAAATTTCTTTGCATTTTAGGTCGAAGTTTTACGAGCTTCATGGGTAAGTTCTTTAAAGTGCCATGTTTGGGGACCACTAACATTACCACACCTAAATACGGCTCCATTTTGTAATAGTTAGCCCCTTAGTACATTTTAATTTTCTGTGAACTATCGTTTTGTAATAATAATGACCCGAGTCCGCCTCTGTTGAGATTCGCCGAAATCTGACGTAATCACCATGTTCATGTTAGTAGGATCTGCGCATGTCATATTCAAACTGCGACAGCGCTCGGGGACTCGCCTATTGGGAAATTTTTCGTTAACAATGGCTTTAATATCCCTTACAGACCGACCACCAAAATACCATTTAATTATTTGAACTTTTTGGTCAATGTGATAAATATCCATTTTTATTTTTATGAATGTATGTAGTGCTTCTACAATACGCTCGTAATAACGCACTTTTCTAATCAGGCACTAGACCAGAATAAAATATAAAATGGTATTTCAAATTTTAACTCAAACAACCCTACTAACAGACCGGATGCCTTTCATATGCCTGCGCTAGCGACTCAAATCGCGATTGGTTCTCACCTCATGTTTCCATCTGCTCAATAAAGAAGTTAAATTATCGATTGCCCTTCATTCGGCTATGTACGCATTAGGGTGCCGCCCACTGTATATAAGAAACATATACTCTCAAATAATAATTATTAGTCATTGTAAACACTTGTGTGAATTTAAAATGTCTGAGATCTGGAGATACAAGTTATTATTTCTTATCGTCGATACATATCTTTTTATTTTTCCTTATTCATTTTTGATCTTATTGTGTAGGACTGGCTTATGCAAAGTATGGTCGGTGCCCAACTGTGAATTAAAACAAACTCTGAAGGGTCACACATGTAATGTTGGAGCCATAATATTTCATCCCTATGCGACAATCAACCAAGAAGAAAATATATGCAATATGGCCTCTTGTGCCGCTGATGGATCAGTTAAGCTTTGGGACTTCAAAAGGTAATTTTAGTGTCGGTAATAATTAGAGTCGAAACATTGCACTCTAACAGAACTGGATTAAGAAGTAGGTAGCAATGATGGTTGATGGAATTAAAAATTCTCATATTTTCTTAAGGAAACATGGGCCCCATATAATATTTTGGGGAGTGATTATTGCACCCACATAAAAGGCTATAATAGCAAGAAAATTTCAAATGAAAGAATAAACAAAAAATTAGAAAATTACTCATCAGGAAATTTTGGTTTGGAAGCGAACAACAATGTATGAAATAAAAATTAGAATTCCCAGAACTTCAATGAATCTCGAAATTTCGAAAAAGAAACGAGAATAAAAATACTTTGTATTTACTTGGTGTTAAGAAAAAAAAATATTTTGCAATTATTTTGCAAACCATTTTCAAGATTTTTTGGTGAGCAGACATTTTGTGAAAGTTTCATTTGAAGTTTTTTTTTTTGCTATTACCTATAGCACTCTATTTAGGTTTAATAATTCACTTCTTAAAATATTATGAAAATATAAGAATTTTTAATTTCACCAACCATCGCTGCTTAAGGCCATACTTGGCCTTAAGGGGTAACGCCACTCAAGTGACTGAAAAAAAGGCTTATTTTTGATAATTTATTGTGGGAGTATGGGAAGTGGGATGGAATTTCTTTTCAGACAGTTCATTTAGCATGTATTGAAGTGTAAAAAAAATGTTTTTATTGTCGATTTGTTACAAAATGGCGGCGACAGATCCAATTTTCGAAATCGTCTTTTTTTTGAAAAGCCTTGGCGGGAGAAAGGATTTCTCGCGTCTTATGAGACCTAGAACAAAAAACAAAATCTTTTTTCTTAATCTACATATTATTGACTACAAAAGTACATAAGGATTTTTTCTTAAATAAATTTTTGTGAACATGGTACACTTTTGAAAAAAAAAATCGACTTTTGGCCAAAATAATGTCTTAAATTGTTTATAAAACAAAAAAGTTTACATCAAATCGAAAAACGGGAATGTACTTCTATAGGGGAATGTAATTGAGAAGTTACTGTCAAAATTTCAAATAGATCCAATAGCAATAGTATTCGAGTAATCTTTTCTCCCAGTAAGTGAAAAAAGGGGATTTCGAGAAAAACACTTAAGAGTTTTACGAACACTTATATTCTTGAAATTTTCATTTTATCCATTCTCTTCTGGACACGATCGATACACTCGTTCCTACTCACAGTACAATCTTTATGTCTGTGCATCTATGATACCTTTAAAAGTTTTTGAATCACCGTCCTCACTGCCCCACAGTGATTCCGAATCAATGTTGAGCAGCCAAAAATCGTGAGTTAAGCCAATTTTGGCTTAAAAAAAATAAAAATAGGGTTTTGTTCATCTTGGACTATATTTTCTGGATCCGTTTCCCCCAATAGTGCTAGAATATCGTGTATGTGCTGTAACATCGCTCAAACATCGCTATTTGCGTAATTGTTGAAAAAGTGTTTAGTTTTCGCTATTTTTTTCGTGCTCTTTTGGTTTAAAAAAAACTGATATTTTCCTGTATTCTACGGGAAAAAAATACGTTAAAAACATATATCACACTTGTCCCAAAAAAAAATTAGTTTTCACGTATGTTTAATAATAATTGTATAATTCAATAAACTTAAAAAAAAAAGTTTTCAAGTGCGACACATGTTTTTAACGTATTTTTTCCCGTAGAATCTGGGAAAAATCAGTTTTTTTTTTAAATAAAAGAGCACGAAAAATAGAAAACAAAACTGAAACACTTTTTCAACAATTACGCAAATAGCGATGTTTAAATGATGTTACAGCACATACACGATATTCTAGCACTATTGGGGGAAATGGATCCAGAAAATATAGTCCAAGACGAACAAAACCCTATTTTTATTTTTTTAAACCAAAATTGGCTTAACTCACGATTTTTGGCCACTAAACATTGATTCTGAATCAGTGTGCGCCCCTGGACGTCCCTTTATGCTCAACGCACACTCCGAGAGCGCTCGCGGCAAAATCCAAGAAATAAGCTATTTTCAGGATTAAGCTAAATTTTTTTCACTATAAGACCAAGTGAATATCATTTTTGAGACCCTAAAGTATTGTTTAAGCCAAAAAAAAAACAACGATTTTTTCAAAATTCTAGAGTGGCGTTACCCCTTAATACGGTTCTGTAAGGATTTGTGGAATTTCTCAACTAATAATAAAAAAATAACAAATAGTAATATAGTAGAGGGTACAAAAAATGTAATTTTTCTTCCATTATGTTAGAAATGGTGAGTCGAAATTTTCTGGAAGAAAATATTGTTTTTGAAAATTTTGTAACTGTGTACCAAATAGTTTTAATTTAATATATATGCATATATAAAAATTGTCATCACTGAAACTTGAATTTCAGATGATTAGTGCACTACATAAATATATACTTTTTGTATGAAAATAAAATTTAAAAACCTGGTAAAAAGACTTCATATGGTCTATAATTACAAAAATAATGTTCGGACCATGGGAAGATCAATAACCTAGTATACTATTTCTAATGTGAATGTGAGGACATGAAAAAAAAGCAAGGTTGTCAGGTATATTTTCTAAAATTGCTGAGCTCACTATACAAATGTTACTTCATACTTCAGTAAACTATTAGTTCGTGACATTCTTAGAAAGCTAGTTTGGAAATATTAAAAAAGAAATACATAGATAGAAATTTATTAGTTAGCATTAAAACAAGGTGTTAAAATTGCTGGAAAAAATAATTATAAATTAAAACAAGTTTATGTATATTACTATACTTTGAAGAGCCGGCAACAGCGGACCCAACAGCTGGCAAAGACCAACGATTTGCAGTGACCCAATTAGAGTATTTTGTATTGCATCGAATATGTTCGTTAGCTGCTTATTCGGTCCACTATGTCGTTAAAATGATTTACGACATTAAGAATTCTTTCTTGTTTCCGCCAGTGACGTGTTGGTGTTTATTTCAGCCAGGTTTAATAAATCTTTTCTGAATAACGAGTAAGTCTGGCTAAATGAGCATTATTTACAGAAAATTATATTACAAAATATTAAGAGTTTTGTATACAGGCTAATTTTAATCTCCTATATTGATTTGAATGAAAAAAAATTATTTCACAATTTTCGAATTTATAAAAGATATATGCACGTCATTGGGCGGCGTTAGCCATCAAAGGAATTAAAAATAATATCTCCACATTTTTTTTTTGTTTTTTTTTTTTTTTTAATAAATCACACCACAGAAATTTCTCTGAAACATTCTCCCTCTAAGAGTTATTACAACTGTGCAGAGGGAGAATACACATGAAAAAGACGTAGGACACACAACCAAACCCTGTGACAGGTGCCAATTGCCACAGGCGGGATTCGAACCCGCGCGGATAATAGCTCCAGAGTAATCGCCATCTTCTCACCTGGCGCTTTACCCACTGAACTGTCGCCGCGGTCTTTTGAGTTTAGAACGACTATACTAGCGCAAATAATTCTAGTGATGACAAACACGACGCTAATTTGAGTAAAAAAAAAAGTATATTTTAATATGGTCATGTTTATTAAAACTGCATGTGTTAATCCTGCGATATTACTGCAGCCTCTAATCTGTGTCAGCGAGTTACTTTTTTGTTTTATTTCTTATTTCCATGCTATGGGCTTTACGTATTTTCCAAAAGACCTGACAACCGTGCTGTGTAAAGTACATTTTCCAAAATAGTACTGTGGTTGCAAAAGTGATATCAAATGTCTAAAAAAACCCTGGAATTGTCTAGAAAATCCTATTTACAATCTTGGCAGAAACGAAACATGCCACAAATGCACCATAAGTGTAATGCACCAAAGTAACTAGTAGCCTTTAGGTTAATTGCCATAGTTTATTATGAAATTTTATATTTCACTATTGTTGTACAACAGCACTGGTTATCATGGGACTACTGAAATTAATGCGAATTGAGGCGACCCCGACCAGATGGCCTACGTGTCGCTACGCCATATGTAAACTTTAACTATATATTTTTAGCGAGGAACCAATAGCAGATATAGAAGGGCACATGCCACATAGAGTATCTAGGTTAGGATTTCACCCATCAGGAAGATTTCTGGGTACTTGCTGTTTCGATAATTCGTGGAGATTGTGGGACCTTCAACAGTGCACAGAAGTACTTCATCAGGAAGGGCATGTTAAACCAGTATACTGCATATCATTTCAGATTGATGGATCCGTTTGTGCAACAGGGTAAGTTATTCGAATTATTTGTTTGTGTTCGATGTTCTAGGCGGCAAATATCACGTCATTTCTAGAATGAAAGAGGAATCTTTCTTGCTTTGTATGAGCTTAACAGTTTTACCATTAGAGAGTGCTTTGGGAAGGATATTTGGTAGTTGCCGACTTTGTCGGACCTCCAAAATATGTCTAGACACACTAGAGGGTAATACCCTGACTTACATAATCCTGACATATGTTACGAAATTTAACTCGCTGCATCATGTAATTCTAAGCCTGCTGCAATCGACACATCATGGTGTTTCATGCTTGCTGTAAATTCTATATGCACACCGCGAGTGTTGTGAGTTTGCTGCGAGCTTATACGGATGTGTTTCACACACACATGCCACACACGAGTCGATTAACACTAATATTTTAAACATCGTCTTTTATACTCCAAGTTCCGTAATTTTCGACTTACATTATGCTTCTCAATCCCATCTGTTACTTAACTCCAGGGTATTCCTATATTTCATATTTACCAAGAGTATTTGTAACCTCAATTCAAAGATATAGAGATATTTTATAGTTAAATGAAATATAAGAATAGCCGCTAGAACAAGTGTAAGTGTAGTGGTGGTTCTTTTTCACATCCGGCCGATGTCTGGTGTACACATAGTGTGTATGTACATTAGGGTGTCCCAAGACATAAAGAGGGATTTTTTTTTCGAGAATTTGTATACGCATACCCTCTATTTTCATTCTATTTGACCTGAATAACTCAAATAATAAATATTATTGCGATTGAATAATGATAACCCGTGCCGACTTGATGCCAAAATAAGACTTAGAAATTAGTACCGAGTTTATTGGTAAAATAATTTCAAAACATTATTGTTGTAAAATGGTTTCAAAACATTATTGTTTAAATTTTCTTTTTAAAGTTTGCTTATTACAATCAGGATAAATCTTTCGGTGTTCTTGTGCAACGTAATAAAAATTGCTTTTGTTCTTCTTCAACCGTGATTAAACCATGGAAATCTTGCATCAACTTAACCGCTCTTTCAGCTGTATCGTTTACAGCCCTGAGTGACAAAACCTTATTTTTGGCTTCTTGAAATGAAATGGTATTTGACCACAAAGTCGGACACTCGTGGAGGAAACTATCATCAATTTTTAAACGTTCAAAGAAGGATTTGCTTTTGACTTAAATGAAGTCATCGATGTTTTTCTCTGAAACAAAAAAGAAGACAATTAATAAACATGTTAAATAAACAAAATAAAACACTTATTTATATATGTATTTACTTATGAAACTTACCATACAATGGACCACAAAGTTCTTTTCCTTCGATGGGATGTATTGTTTACCATGGGTTAATATATTTTCTTTGGTTAAATTTGCAACTATTTTTACTTTAGTTTCATTGTCCACTTCGTCGTCAAATAGAGACAAGACCGATACTTCATCGGTCACATACCATAGATGCTGGATTAACTTCTGTGAAGCCGCTTTTGAGATGGTCTTATCAATTTTTTTCGTAGGCCTTCATTGATTTTAAAAAACACAAATCCTGATAGGGCGCTTTTACTGCACAAATACATTGAAGCCATGGCTTGACGTAAGATATCACACGTCGTACAAGACGTCAAATAGTGCTGCCTTATCCTTGCTCGTAATTTTTAATTGACTGTTCAGTAATGATATTTTTAGGGAATAGATCGCTCTCGCCATCCATCGAGCTTGATGCATGGCACCTGGCGGTCGAATTTTAAGCTTTCTCTCTGGATCTCCACCTAAAAATATTACAGAAAGCTCTATCAATTCTCGGTAGTCATCTCTGACTATTGTTTTGGTCAGTTCAGTTCGGTAAAACCCAAGCAAATTGTCAATTTCGGAAACAGTCATGTATGACGTGACCTTGTCTCTGTAGCACTGTATTTTATTGGGATTGACACTTTTCCAGTTATCTCGGAACATTTTAAATAGTGGAATGTCGGGGCTTGTAGTCACTTGACTGATTTTCACTTCGAATACGCTTTTTAAAACCAATTCATATACGTGATGGCGGCAAGCAAAAATTAGCATTTCTTTGTCAAGTTTTTGTTCGAGAAGCACACAAGTACCATTGATACGACCTGTGTTTGAAGCTGTAGTATCACAGCAAAGAATTTGTACTTTATCTTCGAGATTCCAGTCTCTAATAGCATTCCAAACAGCTTGTGCCTGTTCACTTCCTGAAGAGCTTTCCAACCTTGGCACAGCAATAAGTTGTTCCTTATTATTATATGAAATAACTATTGGAAGTCGTTCTTCTTTTAATTTCCTGGCATTTACAGCAGGCAGGAGCTTACCATCCCAATGAACAGTCACAACATCTGGTATCTTGTTTTGAAAATCAACTTTTATGGCTTCTGCCCGTTCTTTCCGTTTTTCCGTACGAATTCTTTGAATTGATGACTTGCTTATCGGAAACTCGTCAATATTAAGTCCAAGTGCTTCAATAGTAGCTTCAAGAATAAATACAGAATCTCTCATACTTAACTGACACCTGTCAAGCACTGCTACTAATTTTGAAGTAATGAAATCTTTCCGCATAGTTGTTTTACTTGTTCCGGGTTGTGTGGTCTCGATCAGGGTTGGCAAATCTTGTAAATCCATGTCTTCATTAAAATCAGAAGATGATCGTCTTGCAATGGTTCATAAAACGATGTCGAAGGAGTTGGTGCAGAAAAAATATTTAGTACGCCGCTTTTCTTCCTCTATACCTCTGAGGCGCGTTCTTTCCTCTTTTTCTGTCAGTTTTTTGTCTACTCCAGTTAAGTGACCAGGTCGACCTGGCTCTCTCTGACGCTGCAAGAAGATTCTGTCTTCATTTATCTGTATCAATTGAAGCGCGTCGACGTGTGCTATATCGAACAGATTGTTTAAATCGTTGACAAACTCTTGTCGGCGCTGCTTAAAAACGGCTTGTGTTTTTTGTGCATTTTTTTGCAAGTCCCTCCAAATTTGATATAAGTTCACAAGCTTCTTGACACTATTAGGTATAGATTTAGTAGGTATACGCGCCTTCTCCCAATAAATATTACACTCGCAAATAGTGAGATTTGCACTTTCGTTGACAGTTAAATTCACTTCGCGAATGTTGTAAAACAAAACTGCCAGAACTTGTCCATTAGAGGGTAGTTTTGAGCCCGTTATTTGATGTTTTACTTCCCCTATCAGAAATACTTTTTTTTAGAACTGCGTAATTCCACTGACATGTTGACTAATTGAAAACAAAGCGTTTACTAATAGAATAGCATGCTATTACTATTACATCATGTGTTGGAGATATCAAAAATCAAAGCAACTTGTTTATGTATGTGTTTCATGTGACCTATTTGTGCTGTTTATATAATTCACACCAGGGCCAAGGTGCTAGCAGAAAACGCTGACCGAAAACAATTGTAAACACAAGCCCTCTCATTCGTTGCTCTCGTTGAGATATTTTTCAGTCTATACCAAACGTTTATAACGTCAATAATAAACTGCGTGACTCTGATTTGTGTATATACTTATTTAAAACCCATAATCCCAATAGGTCAACACCTTAGCTCGCCTTCGAGTTAGCGTGCAAGTACTAACATGTTTTGATGAAAGTCGGCACGGGTTATCGTGGTCCTAGGTACACGAAATTTTATTTACATTTGTTTTAACATCATACGAGAAAATTAAGAGCGTATGTGATAAAAAAAAAACAACTTTGATTTTTTTGGGACACCCTAATGTACATACAATATTTTATTGTAAAATACGTGTTATACTGTGAAAATATAGTATTAGTCATTCATAATTATTAAAGTAAATTTTCAAATAAAGTGTGTTTCTATGATTTTAGCGGCTTGGACTCTTTTGGCAGGGTGTGGGATCTACGCACAGGAAGATGCATCATGTTTATGGAGGGTCATCTGAAGGCCATATTGGGCATAGATTTCTCTCCAAATGGTTACCACATAGCAACTGCTAGTGAAGACAACAGTTGTAAAATTTGGGATTTGAGGAAAAGATCTATCCTTTACACAATACCTGCACATACTAATCTGATTTCTGATGTCAAATTCCAGAAAGAAGCTGGAAATTATTTGGTAACGGCCTCTTATGATAATACCGTGAAACTTTGGACCAACAGAACGTGGCAACCATTAAAGACTTTATCAGGCCATGATGGTAAAATTATGTCTGTAGATATATCTCCCGATAAT